AATGCGCATTATGTTTCCCCTGCTGACGTGTGCAGAGGCTGACCCAGCACTGAGGGACATCGGTGCTGGATTCAGGTGACTGAAAAGGTTTTAACCCCTTCAGTGCTGTTGAAGGCGGGGCACGAGGGAGGGACGCCCCTTATAAACCTATAGTGCCAGGAAAACAAAGAAGTTTATGTAATCGCTTTAATAGACCTTGAGAAAGGGCCCCAGCTCAGTCTGATCAGTCTGGGAAAGTGCAGGAACCGTACAGATATGATCAGCACACGTTATTCAGATTTCTGTAAATGTAACATGACCTGCTGTCATATTGTACAGTTTGTTAGTGCGGAATCAGTTCAGACTTAGTGATTTTGTATCAATGTTGCAGTTTGGGATTTGTGATGCAATAGTATGATTTGTATGATTGCAGTTTACATTGTGTGCCAGGCTATGCCTTGTTGGCATCAAGGGTGCTAGAGTGATAAGAAAGCCTGATATTGTCACTCGATTTTAAGCTTTAGTGAGTAGCGATACAGGTGAAGACACGTGACGTGGGGAGAAGAATGAGTGAAAGTGACATGCGGAATCATGCGACATAGGATTGGTACAGCTGAAAAAGCAGTGGGGAACAGGAAGCTTACATGGTAGGTGGAAGAATTTGACATGGAATAAAGAAAGTTAGGCTGGATTTGTATGTCAGGAATTAGAGAGAAGTGGCGGACATAAAAAGGGAATGAAGAGAATGGCGTGTGGAACCAGTAGTATAGTGGGCGACTAACTAACCTCGCTGATTAGGGGACACCGTGAGCCATTCAACCTCCCTGTGATTCATGTTTTAATCAATCAATGGAATTTATAACTACAATTAAGCCATAAATATTCTTAGTAAGGCCTGTTTGACAAACATTAGTCTGTCCCTATAGACACACAGGTCAATAGAATACTGCGGCTGAGATTACCTGCAAAAAAACGAAAGGAGAGTTAATAATTACCTGGAAATTCAGATAATTATATAGCTTGGTGAAAGGTGTTTCTCCAGCTCAGATAAAACCCTTTGGGGATTTTTCCATAGCTTTAATTTGCCATTATTATTATTTTATTATTTATATCATTCTGTTTCTGTTTATTAATGAGATGCTCCCTTGTGAATTTGGCCACAGTTTGTTTAATGTATCATATGTGGATGTTAAATAGAAGCCTCATATCGCCGTGCACTGTCTCAATGTTTGTTAATGTATTAAACACATACGTTAAATGAAAGCCTTGTACCATCTAGACTTTGCTCTAGCCGGCTCTTCTCAATGGACGTGATTTGACATTTCCCACGAGAACACAAGGGTTGCTTCAATCATCTCTTGTGAAAGTATCAGTATTTTTTTTTTTTTTAACATGTTGTGGACACTGGAATCAGTGCCTCGGAAAATGGTGGAAATAATGAACCATGCAAAGACAGTATCTTTTCTATTTTTAAATATTTTAATGTTTTTTTTTAATGTTATTATAATTATGGTTCCATAATACATTAAAAATAATGATTAGATACTCCCTTTAATGCTCTCTGCATATATATGATTACAAACAAGCCTGCAATGCCCCAACAGCCTTAGCAAGCACTTCAAAACCCCTGTTTAGCTAAATGTGTGGCATTTAAGGGGACAGCACCAATGTTATAATCAAACAAGTTCAGGCTAGGCACCTATGTCTACCATGTTAGCTTCAACTACGCGAATAGAGACATGAACTATTTAGACCTGGAGATTGACATCAGACTAATAATAATATAGTAAAACATGCTTAATTACACATTATGGTATTAACTGAAGTTAGCTTCATATGGATCATTAAGTACCTGATCGGCTCAGTGAAATATTGTATGGTGGCATGAGGGCGTAGTACTCAAGAGAAACCAACGAAAGGTAAGAACATGGCATGTGTAGGTAGGCATAGCATTGAAAATCTAACTTAAAAATCAAAACACATGTCATACTACAGAAAGCCACTGGAGTCTCATGAGTAAGAATTTCAAAAGTCACTGAAGGTCCATTGGTCTGGGAAATAAAGCAACACCCCGCTTGTGAGCATACTGGCCCTATGTGAAAGTCCCTCAGCTCACACCAGGATGGGCTTGGGGGAATAAGACTCATGCAGGGGCTGAGGGGGGGGGGGATGGGACACATGGAGGGGCTGGAGGAAATGAGACACATGGAGAGACCGGGGGGAGGAAATGAGACACATAAAGGGGATTGAGGGAGAAAGAGACACACAAAGGGGCTGGGGTAGAAATAGACACACAAAGGGGATTGAGGGAGAAAGAGACACACAAAGGGGCTGGGGTAGAAATAGACACACAAAGGGGCTGGGGTAGAAAGAGAAACACAAAAAGTCTGAGGGGAGAAGGAGACACAAAGGGGCTGGGGTAGAAAGAAACACAAAATGGGGCTGGAGGGGAGTAAGAGACACACAAAGGAGGGGGCTATAAGAGACACAAAGGAGGGGGTGTAAGAGACACAAAGGGAAATTGTGGGATAAGATATACTAAAGGGGGTAAGATATTGAAAAGATAGATTAGGGAGTAATAAAGAGGTGTATTAAAGGACTCATATGTGAAGATGCATTTCTCTACGACAAGCATTGGATTGGTCAAGATTGCAGATGACGCCAGTAGGCATGGTGATGTCTCAGAGTGTCTCCTACATTTATACAGGGAACACATTCACACACTTGCATACTTCTTTATATGGGCATTAAAATTAGTATTTAGTTGTTTTTTACTTCATTGTTCCCTTAAAAGGGAACTGTAGCTTCAACGTTATCCTTATATTTAACACATATGTATTTGTGAGATTTGATAAAAAAAATGAGATGTGCAAATCCATCTTTTTATCCTGAAAATGGGCACCTTCATCTTAGATCCCTGTCGGTCATTGTTCTCCTCACTGTGAAGGACTAGGCTTTGGCACAGCATAAAAACTTGGCTTGACCAAAATTTTTTCCAAAAATAAAATTTAGTTTGAGTCTTCCAACTGTCGTTCGATTTACGGTTTGGCTCGTTTCAATATAATTAATGAATCAGGTTCAGGAAATTATTCGGACAGACCAAAAAGTGCAAAAAATTGGGCCGGTCTACTACAAAATGTAATATAAATATTATGTATCTATTCTGCAATATACCGATATACCGATAGGATAGGAGCATTCTCCCACAATTTGGTTCACAGATTAAGTGAGAAAAAGTTACAAAAAGAGTGAAAGAAAGAGGAGCAGTAAAAAGATCTTATATATATATATATATATATATATATATATATATTTGTTTTCTAGCTGTGAGACAGGATGTGATGTCATTTTGTTACAGTGATCCCAGAGAAGCCAAACTGGAAGCTTGACAGACTTTTTCCAATTTAGGTCTTTTTACCTTGTATTTGAAATTCAGTTTGAGTTCTCGGTTTACTGAATAACACTGTTACACAGCTGTCAGTAAATATTTAAACTACAAGTACGTGCACACCGCGGGATCCTCCACAGATTTTCTAATGCACGAGCAGTGAGAATCTAGAGGCATCCACTACACATTACACATGTTCAAATCATGCTTCTCGAGTGATGGCTGAGCCTGATGGGAAATGGCAGGGTATGGCAGATGGAAACTCTTGGAAAAGAAAACATCCCCAAAAATAAGCCCCTAGCTTATTTTCGAGGGAAGCTTGCAATATAAGCCATATCTGAAAAATAAGCCCTTGTTGAGATCGACGCTAGTTCGCTAATCTATGTTTGGGGAATTTTCCCCGAATATAGATTCACAGGATTCCATGCCCTAGTGAACTGGTTCACTGTTCGAGCGAACGTAGGCCTGTTTTCTTGAACGTGCTTGCTACCATATTTCCTCAAAGACATCCCCCGAAAATAACCCCAGTGCGTTTTTCAATTAAATACTATACAGTATAAATTAGTTTTTTAGTAAAGATTCAAATTTTTTGAAAAACTCGGACGTAGCACGAGTGGCGAGAACAAGGGACAAAGTGATTGGGGTTCCGGTTCCGTTGTGCAAATCTTGGGAGGGGGAGGACCCTGGGAGGGGGCATTGTCTTTGTCTGGTGTCCACCCCTTGCATGGGGCAAGTATAAAGCCGATTGTGGCCAATAAAGATGTCGTTGTACCCCTGGAACTGTGTGTCGTCCGGTTACTGGGGAAAATTGGACTCTTATTTCATTAATAGCTGGGGTAACCAGCTGGGTCACCCAGGGCCCGTTACAAAAGTGATTTTCAAGGGAAACTGTTTTTTTTTCAGTTGTGCTAATCTGGAATTACATTTGAACTTTTGAGTTTCTTATAATTTACATTCACTAAATAGTGAATTGTGGTTAATTAAAATTAGCCAAGCCAGAAAAAACAGATGAAGAAGAGAATTTGTACAGTGAGGTTTTTTGGGATACATTTTGTAATTTGTTGTTTACTATAATTCACGGTAAATAAATCATTGAACGCACATCATCTGTTAGTTTCATTCATATACATCTGCATCCTATGATCTAAGTATGCCTATCCAATTCCAGCATACAACCACAGTTTCATTTTAATGTAGTGGTTTTCTAAGACAATATAAAAACATTGGGGTTTCTCAGCAACAGAAACGTTTACATTTAGCAGTAAAAAGACGCCTCTGGCTGCGGTCAGTGATTAAATAAATATTACAGTGCATTGTAGTGGTTATGGTGCCAGCAGTGACCTGGCGCCATGCCACAGTAAGATGTCAAACCATTTTAGATCTGAGTTCTGCCGGTCACCAGGGTCCTCCTCCACTGCATCCGGTCTTCTCAAGTAGGAAAAGGCTGGCATCACTTTAGAGCACACGGAGCTGAAACAGGAGTGCAGTGATTGGCTGAGAGAGCGCGTACCTAATGCTCTCAGCCAATGATTGTGCGCCTGCATTGAAGTGACATCTGGCTTGTCAGACTGCGGATAACTGTGGAAGGTACCCAGTTAAGCTGTCATACCATTCTAAACCGGGTTAATAGCGCAAGCGAACTCCTGGCACCATAACTACAACAGCAGCTATGACATATACCTTTAATTCATGAATCAATGAAGGATATCTAAATGAATTGCCTGGATTATTTAATGTCACTCGAATTGCTACATACTACAGGGCATCACTTTTCCTACAGTGCCATACAAGATGGTGAAAAGGTTTGCTTGCAGGAATCAGGGGATGGATCTGGTAGAACTAGCCCCAGTGGCTGTTAGGAAGCCAAACCCCCCAGGCTGATCTCACCATGTAAAGGTTAATCATCTCAAAGGAAGTGGAGCTGGGGCTGTGGGAAAGATCAAAGTGAAGGGAACTGCGCCTCTAATGCGTGGAATACGGTAGCCTGCTGTAGGCTGATACAATTTGTCCTTCTGCAGTGTTTTCATTCATGCAGGTGGAAGCAGGCTGGTGCAGGGGAGAGGAGACTGGGACATTGCTGGGGAGGCTGGTGCAGGGGAGAGGGAACTGGGACAGGGACAGGGCTTGTGAGGCTGGTGCAGGGGAGAGGGGACAGGGTTTGGGAGGCTGGTGCAGGGGAGAGGGGACTGGGACATTGCTGGGGAGGCTGGTGGAGGGGAGAGGGGACTGGGACAGGGCTGGGGAGGCTGGTGCAGGGGAGAGGGGACTGGGACAGGGCTGGGGAGGCTGGTGCAGGGGAGAGGGGACTGGGACATTGCTGGTGCAGGGGAGAGGGGACAGGGACAGTGCTTGGGAGGCTGGTACAGAGGAGAGGGGACTGGGACAGGGCTGGGGAGGCTGGTGCAGGGGAGAGGGAACTGGGACAGGGACAGGGCTTGGGAGGCTGGTGCAGGGGAGAGGGGACAGGGTTTGGGAGGCTGGTGCAGGGGAGAGGGGACTGGGACATTGCTGGGGAGGCTGGTGGAGGGGAGAGGGGACTGGGACAGGGCTGGGGAGGCTGGTGCAGGGGAGAGGGGACTGGGACAGGGCTGGGGAGGCTGGTGCAGGGGAGAGGGGACTGGGACATTGCTGGTGCAGGGGAGAGGGGACAGGGACAGTGCTTGGGAGGCTGGTACAGAGGAGAGGGGACTGGGACAGGGTTGGGGAGGCTGGTGCAGGGGAGAGGAGATTGGGATTGGGCTGGGGTAGGATTGGAGGTTGGGGGAAGGCAGGGGAGGTAAGTGGAGAGCAGGTTGCTGCAGGGCAAAAGAGGCTGGGGTAGTGGGTGGCTGGGACAGGGGGAGGCAAGTGGAGGGCAGGTTGTTGCAGGGCAGGAGAGCCCCTTAAACCCCCAGCTGGGGCAGATCTGCAGATGTGAGTGGGACACAGAGCATGCTGCAGTGGGATTTAAACCTGGCTCTGAATGGAGGTATACATGGTATCTCTGCTGATCATTATTGAGTGTCAATAGCCCCAGGTCAGCACTAACTGCCCAGTTCTGGTGTCGTCAGAGAGCGCTGGGGGCCCGGGAGATCCTGGCTGGAGATTAGGCTGATGCTTAGCTGAGTTCCCATTGAGCAGCCACTCACTGTCCAGGCTATGGATCAGCTGGGAGCTGGGAGACTGGAAGGAAGCTGCCTGGAGGCCCCCCCTGATCTCAGGGACCTGGAGACTAAGCTGGGAAGGAAGACCCCCGATGGACTGCTCCGCTGGATAAGAGAGGACCCTGTGCAACATCAGGGGGATCCTGGCTTGGTCATCATGGAGAATGGCGAGCAGGGGCTGGGAGACAAGATCAGGGCTTTAAAACTGGAGCTGGTGAGTGAATACTGGTATAACCAGCTAAGGGGGGCTTCACATCTAGAACTGGTGGGTAACTACAGGGGTACCCAACGATGGGGGGCTTCAAATCTGGAACTGGTGAGTGAATATTTGGGTACCCAGCTATGGGATGGGGGGGAGGGGGGAGAGGGCTTGGGCTGTCAGTGCAGAGTCAGCAGATCTATCGCTCTCACACTTCATCCTTGTTGTATCAGTCATTCCTTGCAATCTGTCTAGTGTGTGTGTGCTATTATTTTCATGTTTCGGCATAACTGAGTATACAAGGGAGATAACATTTTATATTTCAATTTATAAAATAAATTATGTAATCTCCACCCAGTGTGTCTATCATGATGCACATCACACACAGTGTTTTTTATTATTATTATTATTATTATTATTATTTATTTCTATAGCACCAACATAGTTCTGCAGCCTTTAGCATGATAGAATGCTGATATTTGACAAGTAACTGAGATACAGAATATTATCTGAGACAAGAAGTGAAAAGGGGTAGCGTGACATTGGGAGACATATTTACTAAACTGAGAACTGTGGAGACTCTACAAGAGAATTGGAAAGTGGATTATAATCATAGCTGGAACACTTTGGCAATTCATCTATTTTGCGTCAATATGTACACTTTTAGTACAAGTCCCAGTTTAAAGCCCTCTTTATGTTGCAATACAATGTATCCTGTGATTTGATTCAGATTAGACCGGAGCACATTGTAAACAAACCCGATTTATCATGTTTGCCAGCGAGACAGACCACTAACTGGCACATAATGCCCCTGTCTATGTTAGAGGAGTATAAAAGTCACTTAAGGAGTACTCCAAATATCAGAACCAGTCCATACAGCCCACTGTTGTGGTTTTAACCCCTTAAGGACCAAACATCTGGAATAAAAGGGAATCATGACATGTCACACATGTCATGTGTCCTTAAGGGGTTAAAGCCAGGATTAATCTGGCCCGGTTCCCCAGTAATGAGGCAAAGCCGTTAGCAATGGTTTGGTCCCTGCCGGGTTCCGAGACTCCTTTCGTGCCATGTGACCCGCTTCTGCAACAGATAGATCTGGTCCAGTCAATCGCCTTTCCTTGGCCGAGAGTGTCGGCTGACTGTTCTCAGCCAATGAATGGCACATTGTGCAAATGAATTTGCACAGAATTGACATTAGCCAGCCCGGAACCCTGAATTGGCTGATGACACTGATAGAGGTGGAGGTAAACCTGGAAGTCAAGGGATTAAATTTGGTATGCGCAGCGTTTCACAGCAAAATACTACACGTACAGACTGCAGGCACCATGGCCACTTCACTTAAGTGGTCGTGGTACTTGGAGTAACCTTTTAACATCTGACCCACTTTACTGGATCTTTAACCCAGACAAACCTGTTTTCTTGACAGCCTAATTGTACTGTGTCATATTGAAACCTAATTAATTGGGATCTGGCAATAACGGACATTATAATTATAGTCCAGGTGTTGTCTATGCATTCCTATGTCAATTTGTGGTTATAGTGTGCAAAGTTATGTCGGAATTTTGGGTGTGTGTGTGTGGGGGGTTACTTCGTTCTAGATATAATTCAATTAAAAGCTCTAATATACTCTCCATTGCAATACTTGGTGTCAGATTCCATCAGTGCGTTCATATAAACACAGCTGTCTGTGTAGAGCAGACATTCCTCCGCCTAAAGAAACTCTCTGAGGTTATTTGTTAAATCGTGAATTAGGTTTACTTACAAAATCCGGCCACATTTCGCCAGAGTCCTAAAACTTCTCACACTCGGCCGTTACGGCCCAGAATATTCGATTTGATTTTCTGCATTTAACAGTTTAGTGAATACATCCCTGAAGGAATCTCTTGGGTTCTCTATGTATAAAGTTCATCCATTTTTTTATTTTTATTTTTTTTGTATTTGGTTATGGAGTGAAAATACATACTTACTATCTTTATTGTCACTCTATGTAATGGTTTTCTTTCTTTCTTGGTAATTAAAGGGTTTAATAAATAAATAAAAATATTCAAACACAATACATTTACTTAAAAAATATATATATATTATTTGAATTTATTTTGTCTAAATTCCCAGACAAACCTAGTAAATGTTGGTTTCCTAAAAATCTAAAATACAACAATTGGCAGGACGACCTAGTGTAGTCTGCCAAGGTGGGAGAGGAGTTCTAGCTGTAATATAGAGTTGGTATGTTAACCAAATGAGCCATCTTACAAGCCTTTCGCTGTTATAAGATGGGAGAAGATTGGTGAGCAATATGTGTTGTGGGAGGAAGTTTGGAATTTGCAGTTGTAATTATCTTGTGTGGGATTTAACCATTTGGCCCTCTTAGGGGGAGGGAAATGCAGAGCAAATCCATCTGACTTGCAATTTGTCATTAACCTCTGAGATGCCAGAATGGTGTTCAGCAGGTTGCTAAGAAATGTCTCTGTGTCTGGCACAACAAAGGTTAATTTTGAGATCCGCTGACTTCCTGTGAGAGGGACTCACAAAATCTAGGATTACGACATATTCACTAAATAGAGAATTAGAGAGAACTGATAGGAGAATTGCAACTTTCACGTCAAAAACTGAGCTTGTGAAATAACGGCGTTTCGATTCAATTAACGTGATAGATTTTGGCCCCATAAAATTCCTTGGTCGGACTTTAACAATGTGTGTTTAGTGACTACACCTCAGCCTGTATGTACAGTATGTGTTATACAGCGCTACGGAATCTGATGGCGCTGTATAAACAATAAAATGATAATAATGTGCATCACTCAACAAGAGCGAGAAATAAAGTTAAAACAAATATTTTTGAATGACTGTAGTGTCCTTATGAAAGGGAAACAGAATGCGTTAACTTCCTTATACAAACTGTATCAACACATCTAATCTAGATGGATAACATGGGGGTGAAAATATTCACGTATTACTTAAAGGGCACCTGTCGTGGATAAAACTGTCTTTACTAGTTTTAAAAAGCATCACATGTCATCCATACATTGTGCTTGCAGTTTTGCTGGCACATGTAAATATGGGGAGAAAACCCTGTCTAAAAGGAAGTCTTTCTCCCAGTTGTCAATTCTTTAGCATAGATTCTGTTTTAAGGGATTTTGACCAGAAATGTCTCTCCAATTTTCTATTGGGTGAATAAAGGAATGTCATAGTCCTAGAGTGATAGACTCTGTGCCGAAGAATTAACAGGGAGAGCAGTGGAGGCCACCCACCGGCGGTGCTTCTGCACTGTGGTAGCCATGCATAGCAACCACAGCGCATGTGCTTTGGTTGCTATGGAAACACTGTAGGCGACGCTGCTAGTGCAGGCTAGGTAGTATAGAAACTTATGTCATCACTTCATTCAGACTCTGGCATACTTTCAATGAAGCCAGACTGTTGGTGTCATGGAGAAGGTTTGCCCTGCTTAGGGCAAATCAGTCAATAGAGAGCAGAGGGAGCCAGGGCGTAACTTACAGATCTGTACGCGCAATGGCGCTCGGGAACGGAAAGTGAGGTAAGTCAT